TGGCATAAACACTTCATAGCTTATGAATTCGTAACAGTTAATGGAGTGTCATGCTAATCTTTACCAAGTCTTTGTGAGTCAGGTACTTATCTATGCTAAGCAGAAAGCAAAACTGAGGCAGAGTGTTAATTACTTTCTTTGGAGTGAAAGGAAGCAGGAGTTATGCTTGAATTTGGTAACCCTTACAAAGCTTTGTAATGTCATACTATAGCTGTAGTGCTAGGTTGTGAAGTAGTGTGGGATAATATGGTGTGTGGGCTGGAGGGTTCTTTTTCTGAGTATCTGTAATCAACCTTTCATGTGTTGTTGAAGGCTTTCATGGCCGAAATCACTGGGTTGCTATGGGTTTTTCGGATTGTATGGTCTTTCATGATTGTTTACCATTTTAATGGATTTTTTAAAAAATCTGTCACAAAATTGACCTTAGTATCTATTTTTAAATTTTTAAAATTGATATTAATATAGATGCATGTAACACACAAAACACAACAGACAACATATAATGCCATAGTAAGTCTATCGGTTGTAAATACAAATAAAAATTAAAAAATTAAAAATTGATTTCCCACTTTCTTATCATTAGGTTACCTGATTCTACCAAATTGGCTAAAAGGAACACATACCCCTTCTAATATATACTTTAAAAACCCTAAACCAAACCCTGGAAGCACTTAATCAATATTTATATTGGATAATCAGAGTTATATGCTCAAATAAAATACATTTCTAACAGGAATAGGAATCATGTGGTCCTTCAGATGTTGTTAGATTGCAGCTTCCACAATCTTTCGACAGGGTAGTCTGTGGCAAGGAATGCTTGGAGCTACAGTCCAACACCATCTGAAGGGCCCCATGATCACCAATCTTAATCTTTGTATGGCATTTTGTAGTTCAAATGAGAAAAGACTCAGTGGCATTTATGACTTAACAAGTTCCCATTGATTTAGTCGGTCACATCTCTTAGGGCTATCAATTGGATTTAAGTCTTAACCTTCTGTAGGATTAGATCTAAAAGAAGAGACAGACAGAATGGTACAGTAGGGAAGGAGAAGTCTAGACCACCTAAAAACAATTAAAGCCCCAAAGTAAACAAGAACAGGACATGAAAAAGAGCAGGAATACTGTATGCAGACAGTAATAGTTCAGGAGTCATATAAATAATCATATCCAGCAACCTTTTAGTGTGTGTATTTTCTGAGAATCTGTTTGTGATCTGCTATGGCAAAGGATTCTGCACAGCAAATACTTGGTAGCTGTATTATCTGAAGAGGTAGTTGAACTTGTTTTAGAAACAACTGGAGAGATCATAGCTTTTATTAAGCATATTTTCATTATTGATCTTTGTTCATTGTCCATATAAGCATAACTGTTTGACAGAACAAAAATGTAGACTGCATTCCATATTAATTCTGCTGTAGTTCTCCTTTCTGCTTTAGAAGTCATGCATAGAAATCAGTGTTCATAATGTATAACAGAGACATATTTTCTAGCATTCCTTTCAATAATTTACTCCTTTTGTATAGGCCTTTACTTTACACTCATAACCTATGTTCTTCCTTTGTAGCTTTTATATAATATCCAGGCAATCCTAATAACTTTAAAAATTGCTTAGCATTTAAAGATACCTTGCAAATATTAGATATACTGTACATACTTTTATGTAAGAGAAATACATTGCTGGAACTGAGTGCTATTACTGTGGAAGGATGTGTTCAGCGATATAGGGCAGAAGTTTTTATTTCTTTATTTGGTCAGTGCTTAATTTTAGCCATTTAATTCATTAGTAGTAATAAATTGATGTCAGCATAGTAGTTACAAAAGAAGCAATTGTGAAACTAGAGGATTCTCCATGGATGAGAGTTTAATTCTTTTTGAAATAGGTAAGTGGACAATGATGGCATATCATACACAGTTTGTTGGGTATGCTAACATTAGTGGGCATCTTACTGTCCTAGAATAATGTGTTGCATGAGCTCAAAAACCAGAGGGATATACCACACACAGAGCTTAAATTGAAACAGGCAATTTTGGTTGTTATGTAATGGTTGTTATGTGTCTTTCAGGCTTATTTTATAACCAAGTGTTTGGTCTAATATCATTTATAATAAATGACGGGTGGTCAGAATGTGGTTATTGAGTCACCTCTGAGTTCACACTTATTAGAAAAATGCTTGACGTTTAGGTTTGCAAATAAAGTACCTTAGACATTACAGTAGTTTGGCCTTCAAGATTTGGAAATGAAAAGTCAAAGTAAGGATGTTTGAAATGTACATGTACATATGCTGGTTTCTGAAATACTTAGCGTTTTGAGTTCAGAAGATGGGGAACTTCTGAGGCACTGGTTAGCATGCAGCTAGGTTTTGTTTCAGCCTTTTTGAATTTTCAAATAGCAGTACTCAGGAGATGTTAAGCTATTGAATTGAACTGCATCTCTATAAGGATGTCTGTGATAGGCATGATTATTTTGGCTTCTAGCAAAGCTTCTATGAATATAATGGTTGCAGATGGATGTACAACTCCTTGGAAAAGTGATATTCAGTATTCTGGAAATTTTCAGCCTACCTGATTTTACTTCTAGGATGTTTTCTTAAACACTAATTTTCCTGTGATTCATGGAGTCACTGTCCTGGCTTTTGTTATATTACGTATTTTAGCTTTTGAAGGCCTTTCCTCTAGCTCTGCATTATCTGTCACTCAGTAGCCTTTCCTCTAGCTCTGCATTATCTGTCACTCAGTAGCCTTCCCTGGCATCATTTTCAGTAGTTGAGGTTAAATTTGGTCAAGTATTCTGATTGACAATAGGATGGGGGAATTGATGGCTGCCATGATTCTTTTTTGCATATCCTTAATCTTACACTACTACTATAACCTTTACTTTATTGTAGTACTATATTCTCTTAATTTAATCATCTAATTTGGAGTTTCCAGTAATCCTAAATGTAGTTGGAGTCTGGGTTGTTTTGCTATAGACATTGAAGATGGATTTTCTTCTGCAAAAGAAATAGCTCTTATTGGCTGTAGTGTTTGAATTAAGACAATTTAAAATGATACTGATGATTCAACCTTGGTTTATCGATCTTTACCCCCCCCCCCACTGTGTAACTGTTAGACACCACTGTCACATGTTTCTTATCTCTTACATATTCAGAATTTTACTTTCTGCATAGTGTCAAATATTTCTTCATTTAATTTTATTGTTTGTAGATCGCCTTTATTAAAATCCTTAATATTTTAATAAAGAGGTGGTCTTTATTATAATAAAAGCCCCTGGTGCTGCAGTGGGTTAAATCCTTGTGCTGGCAGGACTGCTGATTAACAGGGCAGTAGTCCGAATCTGGGTTGAGCGGGTTGAGCTCCGCCTGTCAGCTCCAGCTCCCCATGCAGGGACATGAGAGAAGCCTCCCACAAGGATGGTAAAACCTTAAACATCTGGGTGTTCCCTGGGCAGCATCCTTGCAGACAGCAAATTCTCTCACACCAGAAGCGACTTCAGTTTCTCAAGTTGCTCCTGACATGAAAAAAATAAATCGTTGTGACTTTTTGCATATTGTTTGAAATGTTTACAAATTTTCCATGTCTTTTATCTAATAAAGTATAGTCCATTTCTTTGAGCAAATTCTTAAAAATGATTTCATGCAGGATACAGGACTGACTTCTATATAACCTTGACTGAAATGGATTTCTTGTTATTGCCCATCTGTTCTTCTTAGTATGGGGGTGGTTAATCATTAATATACACCCAAAAGTAATTCCCTGTTTGGTTCATGTTTCATGCTTTCTTAGGAGCACTACGTATCACTGTAGTCAGCCACTTCTTAGTATCATAAGTAATCTTCAAGAAGTGAAAAGGAGTGAAAAATTAAAAGTTTAAAATTATAGTGAAAAAATTAGTGTGTTGTTCAGATTGGATTACAGATGGAAATGATGCTTTTTCTAGGCCCTTTACACACAGCCATATAGCCCAGAATATCAAAGCAGAAGATGCCACAATATCTGCTTTGAACTGGGATATCTGAGTCCACACTGCCATATATTCCAGTTCAAAGCAGAAAATGTGGAATTACTTTTAAATATATGTGTGTTATGGCGACAATTTTTATGTATATTTTGTTTTGTTAATCTTATGGTTATGTTGTTTTTTTACTTTGTATGTTTTATGATGTTTCCTGGGAACCGCTCTAAGTCCCGTCGGGGAGATGGAGCGGTATATAAATATTATTATTATTTATTATTATTTTATTCAGCTGTGTGGAAGGGAACATGTTATTGATGATGAGACGACAGTGAATGGGTATTGTAGTAATTGTTTATTAATTGTGTAATGTGTTAGGTTGTTAACTGTTACACTGTAGCACTGAATTTTTGCTGTTCGTATTTGTTGTGAACCGCTGTGAGTCACCTTCGGGCTGAGAACAGCGGTATATAAGTAAGGTAAATAAATAAATAAATAAATAAAATAAGGGGCCCTAGAGTTTTACTAATAGATATGCAATAACCTGTGAGGGTTTTTTTACAACATGTTGTTGTCTCTCTAAATTTAAATAAGTTTGTATTTATATTATTGCATATAATGCACTGTACAAGCAAAGGATGAAGTAAGGAACAGTCTTTTTTCTTCTATCATTCATATTAAATTGTGAAGCTAATTAACTTACTAGAATTAGGAAGGCAGGGGGTGGGGTACAAAGCATTGCAGAGCAGTTACATCCTAATCTTTGCTAAATAGTAAAATTTGTGCTTTGTTTGGTATTGAATTCCCATGCTCATATGCATCTGACACTTTAGAGTGCTCACAAACATGTTTTATATCTCTTTGTGACATGAGACTAGCTGAGCATAAAGGCATGCATTGTATTATGTCTATGATCACAGATTGACTAGGAGAGTCTGAAAAGAGGGCTGTGGATGCTGAGAGCAAGATCAGCTTAATTACTCTTCCTGCATCAGCAGCATCTATAAAGCATCCTGGGAATTGCTTGCCCTGCGCTCAGAGAAATCTGGTCACATGAGTCTGAATTTTCAGCTCAGTTCATTAGTCAGCCATTTTGGTCAACACCCTGCTTACTGCGCACAACCAATCCTATTATCACTCGCTGGCTTGGCTCATTTGAAGTGGGGAGAGAGAAAGAAAGAGACACGGTGGTAGATTTCACCAGTTCTGGATAGTGCTTCTTCGATATATTTCATCATATTTGAGGCTTTCCCCCCAAAAGAAGCTTTTTTTAAGGAAACAGCAAAAAGAGCTATTTTTTCTGATGCAGAGGCCACACTTGCAATGGTTATTCAGAATTAACTGCTTCTAGTCGGTTTGAAGAAAGGAGAGTGTATTGCGGAAGAAGACAGAGGAAGAGATTACAGAAGAGAAGGGGTATATACCCCTCTCTTGCATCCTGTGCCTTGCTTTTCTCCAGAACCAGCGCAGTCTTGTGATCCTGAGCAAATCTCTACTGATCGAGCACTGGTATTCTTCCTTTTCAGAAGGATTTTTCCATTTTAGTTTTTTAAAATTTGGATTTTATTGTTGTACCAGCTGAGTCATCATGTCTGCTCTGACGCCTCCAAGCGATATGCCAACCCCTACCACAGACAAGATCACACAGGCTGCCATGGAGACAATATATCTTTGCAAATTTCGTGTATCTATGGATGGAGAGTGGCTCTGTTTACGAGAACTGGATGACATCTCTCTTACACCTGACCCTGAGCCTACCCATGAAGGTATGGGTACATTTGCTATGTAGAGAAACCTACAAGCCTTATTTCGGGAGGAGGGTGTTGCTGTTCATAATTTCAAAGCATTATTACAAAAATATGTAAAGTGGACGTACTTTCAGTCAGTACAGTGTAACCTAAGCTTATGTCTAAAATTGCTGTTTTACTTCATTACTAAAGAAGAATTAGCTGATTTTAAAACATCAATAACACTAGCAACAGATGTGTGTATTTGGAGCTCTTTGTTTTTCCTTAGAAGTCTCCCTCTCAATTTAGCACCAGGAATGAACGAGTTAAAGCTGGCTATTAAGTTCACCATCTGAAGCATGAATCCTGGTATTTTAATAGTAACTGGAATTTGTGGAAGTGCTTATTTACCTGAAAATTACAGCTGTTCCAAATGCCCAGATACTCTATTTAAAATATACCAATGTCAGAGTTTATAAGATGTTTCATTGTGGTTAATAAGATGTGTAATTTTGCACAGAGGAAAATGACAATGAATGCAGTAAATGATATGGTATAATGCTTCAAAGGCTCCTCTTTCTTCCAAAACAATGAAACGTCTGTCAGAGCTGGTTCAGATCTATCTGCTTCTCCAAATCCCGTGGGATTCTATTTAGATTCATACTAGAATGACTGCTATGAAGCAAAGGTGAAAATATGTGTCTCATGTCATTTACCACACTCCACTTTAATGACAGCTGGAACAGATACAGGCTGCCACTTAACAATGTAATTGTCCATAGTATTTTCCTTCACTTAATCCACTTCAAGGGAGAGTTATTTTTTATTTTTGCAATACACAGGTATAACTGAAGCCAGCTCACCAGCATTTTTCAAGAGGGATTTGGCAATGTATTTTTTTTCTTTGTTCGCGTTTCTCATTGCTGACCCGGAAATGAAACACAGCTGCCTTTTGCTGCATTATCTTCACAAACCCACTGCTGGCAGCTTATGGAAATAGCTCAACTGGGTTCGGCAACATATCAATACAGTCTGTCCAATCATAGGGGAACTAATGAAAAGACATTGCAGGTTTCAAAATAAAATTGTACATTCTTTTAAGTCTTTAAATTTTTGCCTGTATGACACTGTCAGTGCACAGAGCACTTCCAACAGATACAACAGTCTTCCCACTAGGAGATAGAAGACAATGTTTTGAAAAACAGAGGGTAGTAAAATGAAGTTAAATGTTAGCAACTTAAGTTCATAGGCATAGATTTTGCTTCATTTGGTGAAAACTGTTAGTCACATAATTCATGACAACCTTTGTTGCCATGGATATCAGAATATTTTTTTGCAGTGGCTGTATAAAACAAATAGTGTGGGAAGGATCATTACAATTAAAATAACATTACCTGTTTAGTTCAGATCTCAGATGCTTCTACTTTTTCCTTAGCAAGTCAACAACATTTGATTTATGTGATGTGTTTGTGGTGTTCAAACAAATCCATTCAAGAGAAGCCTTTGGCTGGCATCTTCTTCTTTAGCAATAAGATAGTAAGATGGATTTAGCTGCTTTGGGATTCATGCTTATGATTGTAAATGACAACGTTTGACCCACAAAGCTTACTTTTTCATCCTAGTCATGCTCAAACTCAACTGTTTCCAAGGGGCTGCAGATTTGGGCAACTGGGAAATGATGTTGATTGCCTGGGGCACATTGAAAACAGCAGTTAACGGCAAAATTAGTCTTTCTGGCTACTTGTTTTCAACAAGCCCCACAACCAGAAATGCACTGCAGGTGTCATTTTCCAGTGCCAGAAATTATAGCACCTTGGAAACCAAATTGAAAAGGTAGGGAAGTCTGACATCAGAGGTAACTATGGCAACGGAGCTCCGTCATTGTAGTCATGTCTGGTGATGCAGTATCTCAGCCTTTATGTTGCTTCAGTCCTGATATTGTTTGTTTGAATTCAGATTTAGGCATTCACAAGCATCCTTTGTGATTTCAAATTTAGGCATTCACAAGCATCTTTTGTGATTTCAGGTTTAGGCCTTCACAAGCATCTTTTGTGATTTCAGGTTTAGGCCTTCACAAGCATCTTTTGTGATTTCAGGTTTAGGCATTCACAAGCATCCTTTGTGATTTCAGGTTTAGGCATTCATAAGCATCCTTTGTGATCACATCTTGTTCAATAAACTGCTCCATGATTGCTTTTTCAAGTCGGTGCAGTTGATTATAAGTGGGTGAAACAGCAAGCACGAAATTGTTTCAGAGTTCTGATTAAAAGGCCCTTCAAGATCTGTAGTCTATACAAACAAGCCCCAAACGAGATGCTTGAATTTGGGGAAATTAATGGGAAATAGCAACTGCAGTGTTGCTGATTTTGTAACTATGTCTTGTATTACTGTGTTTCAACCCTACTTGCACACTGTGGTCTGGATATAACATATTTTATAGATTTCTTTACAGTCTCAATATCCATCATAAAGAGCTGGAAAAAATCCCATAAGCTTGGTGTTTCCTTTCTGAATATGAAGACTAGGATTTTACTATTGTCTCATAGATTAATAGTTTTTGAATACAGCACAATGTCAGCTCATTCTCATGTTTTTTTCTGCACTCCAAAAATCTGTATTTTCAGTGCCTCATAGAATATTACTTTGTGGGGCGTTGATACATGAGTGTGCATTAGGGCTGGGCGGTTTCGTTTCGTAATTTCGTAATTCGTTAAAAATTCGGGTTTTTTTATAACGAAGCGATATTGAACCATTCAGGAGCAACTAAAAAACGAAACGAATTTTTCCAATTCGTTTCGTAATTGTTTCGGAATTGATTCGTTATTGATTCGTAAATGTTTCGTTATTATTTCCGCACATCTGGTGCAAGTTTTAGGGTTGCTGTTTGTTTTCTCAGTGAAAAAAAATATAATTATCACACCAACAGTCAACAACAGAGGGAGAGGGAAGCTTCAGAAGTTTTTTTTAGCGTATTGCGTGATCGCGTCCGCCATTAACGAATCGATTCGTAATCGATTCGTAATTGTTTCGTAATTGGTTTTTGATCCCCGAAATTTCGTAAATATCGAACTTTTTTAAAGGAAAATTTCGGAATTCTTTTAAATAATGAAACGCAAAAAACCCCTAAAAACAAATCGAGTTTAGAAACAAATTTTTCCGTATTTGGACAGCCCTAGTGTGCATCATTGGTGGTAAGATATTTTAGGGAACTGGAATTTATGGAAATGTTTTTTACAAGGTAAGCACTTGTAATCAGAACATGATTGCTTTAATGAAAAAGAACAATGGTGGATCTATTATTAGCTGAAACTGGTATATGTGCATGAGTGTGAGTGACATACTTGTGGCATGTGCATTTAAGTTAAATAATGTATTTTAGGTACAAAAATAATAAAAACCCATTTTTACTACCGTCTTAGTGAAGACAATATCCTGAAAACAAGAGACTAATATGTCATTCATGGTGGAAAATTAAATATGAACACACTTGCATTAATCACTTCTCCTTTTGCAATATACAGCACATGGTCACAGAGATGATAATCAAAGTTAGGGTGGCGGAAGATAAGCACAGGCTTGTTTGGTCTGTCCACACAGTTTTTGCTGCCTGGAATGAATCAACATACGTTAAACCTGTCACTAGTCTAAACTAGCTCATAAGATTGTCTTGAGGATTAAAATCTTTAGTTGCTGTGGGAAAGGCAGATGAAAATACAATTAAAATGTTATTAACAACACAAAGAATCCATAATAAGTCTCCTTGGAGCAACTCTCTTATATATGTCCCCACTTATAAGAATTACTGAGTTGAAAATAACTTATTCCCAGGCATGTTTGCAATCCTAATGGAACAACACGGTTGTGCTTGGCTGCTTAGAATGAAGCTTACTCTGGGGTAAAGTTGTATAGGATTTTCGTATTTGTACATTTCAAGGGAGCACTTACATTTGCATAAAGTAAGATCTGAAATGGAAAAATTACTGCTGTTACCTATCCAAGACTAGATATTTATTGTTGTGTGCCTTGAAATCATTTTTAATTTATGGCAACCCTAAAGAGAATCCATCATAGTTGTGTTTTTTTTTTACAAGATTTGTTCAGTAAGGATTTGTTCTTTGCTTTTCTCGTAGGATGAGAGAATTTGACTTGTCCAATATAGGTTTATGGCCTAAGGGAGATTGAAACCCTGGTCTTCAGAGTCGTATGGTCCAACCGTTGAACCACTACACCATTCTTCTGTAGGGCTGAATATATTGCTGGTCGATTAGGCCAATACTAATATTTATTTACTGATTTCTGCTGGTTATATTTACTGCTCTATGAGGTATAGGGAAAAAAACACTTAAAATTAAACTAGGCAGACCCTTCTGCAGACAGATGGTCACTCAGCACTTATCTCTGTGGCTCATGCTGTTCACAGATTGTCAGTCATGGCTGTAACTTAATGCCTGAACATATTGAGAGAGGAAGGCAAGCTCATGTCTTATATAAAAAAATTAGAACAGGAGAGTGGCATAGCATTGTATCTCACATATTCCAGTTCTACATGGGCTAAGAATTAAAAATTGGGAATCTAGGTTTGCTAATAGGCCCCCTGAGCTATTTATTTATCGTGTCATGGGCAACCAGACAATTGTATTACATTTCTAACAGAACCAAACAAACAAACAAACAAACAAACAGACAGACAAAACACAAAGTTTGCAAGCTTGGTAGTTGATTAAATGTCCTTTGACCAGTATCTGGCCACTTGGAGTGCCTCTGGTGTTGCTGCAAGAAGGTCCTCCATTGTGCATGTGGCAGGGCTCAGGTTGCATTGCAGTAGGTGGTCTGTAGTTTGCTCTTCTCCACACTCACATGTTGTGGTTTCCACTTTGTAGCCCCATTTCTTGAGGTTGGCTCTGCATCTTGTGGTGCCAGAGCACAGTCTGTTCAGCACCTTCCAAGTCGCCCAGTCTTCTGTGTGCCCAGGGGAGAGTCTCTCATTTGGTCTCAGCCATTGGTTGAGGTTCTGGGTTTGAGCCTGCCACTTTTGGACTCTCGCTTGCTGAGGTGTTCCAGCGAGTGTCTCTGTAGATCTTACAAAACTATTTCTTGATTTAAGTCGTTGACCCCCTGAGCTGATGAGTAGGGTGCTGTCTACTTAGTCCAGTAGTTAAATTAGCTTAGATTTTACCATAACTATTTTAAGAATTGACATTGAAGAATATTTTTGCTTCATTTAAGTTGATTTCGAATATTACCAAAGACTATGTATTTATTTTAAACATTTATATTTCACTCTTCTCACCCCGCAGGAGACTCAGGGCAGAGCACAGCATATATACGGCAAACATTCAATGCTGGGACATAAAACCATAAATCTATACTGTACAAGCATTAAAATCACTTATATCCACATTAAAAGTTATTATTGCTAATATATAGGAAATGTAGTGCCATGGAAGGGAGGATCAAGGCTATTGTGATTCCAGTAATATGTCAAGAAAAGAGTAGAACGACACCCCCCCCCCCACCCCAAAACCTGTGGGACTGGTATCAGCAGTTACATCTCTTATAAGATAAATTATGTCCTCTCTAAAAAAGATTCTAACTCTTCCAGGGCAGTCTCTGGTGAAGGTTGTTCGTTTCAGTAGTTTGCTATAATCATCTGTTTCTTGTTTCCATAGTAAGTTCAGGAAAGTATCCCCCACAGATATGGGGATTGTACTGTTTACAGTAATGCTCATCTGTATTAATGTTTAATGCAAAAAGATCTTCTGTTTATTGACATCTGAACCAGGATTGAACATTCTTATGCCAGTCCTTTCCATTCATTATATGCTTTCCGTAGATTTCCATTGATCAATTGCAGTTTTGTTTCTTGTTCTGAGAAGAATTGTACATAGGTTCTTGAGCCCAGTGTTTCAATAATATAATAATTCATTTGCTAAAGAAAGGAAAATCACAGCATGACGTTATTTCACAGGTATTGTGAAATTCAGTTAGATGTTGAATAGCAGAGAAACCTGGCATTATTTGACCAAAACAATACTCACATAGAGCTGTGGTAGTGAATGAATTGAACAGCTTAATTAATGAATTTTCATACATCAATAAGCATTTCCTGTATTGAAAATGTTTTAGAAGGTAGTTTAGGTGATGACAAGCACCTTATTGACGGCATACATATTTTATTCTTTTGTTCACCACTGTTGGGAGATACAGAAGCAAATACTTCAACCACAGTCTGTACTGGAGTTGATTGGAATCAAAATAAAATGCATAGAAGGTACATTGGATCTTCCAACAGGTTTGTTATTCTTGTCACGAGCTAATTTTGTGTCATATTCACTGATAAGAGATGAAGAAACAAATTCTTTAGCTTTGTTCAGTTTGAGGTTGGTCTGCATTGGATTAGTCTCCTGCAGCTTGAGGATTCCTGCCGTGAATTAGTTCACTGAGATTATAGTCGTCCTGACTCAGAAAATATTTCTGGCAACATAATGACTTGAGATTGAATGTGTCCACATACTGGTCAGCTTCACAGATACTAATGGCAAATGGTGCATGTATACACAGTAAGCTAAGATACCAAAAACATGTGTGATGTTTTACATTTTATAATATCTGTTAAGGCAGGTACTATGTTAGGATTTCCCAATGTAATGTGCTGTCTGACTTTCTATAACATATTATGAGAAATATGCTGAATACTTAAATGGCAATAGATGTCTTATTTGATTGCCAGATAAAGCTATCTATCTATCTATCCATGGTCTAAGGTATTCTGTTTTGATGTTCCTGCCAAATATGGATTTATGTTTTCAGTGTAAAAGACTTTCAGACATTTAAAATTAATTTTAAATACAGGCTTTTGTGTTTGCCTGAGTCTGGTGCTATTTTATTTATTTATTTTCTATTGAACTTCATTATTTCAAAAAGAGACAAACTAGAAAGATTCATACCCTTGCAAACCCTTGGATGTAGCTACAAAACATTTTTAGTCAAAGCAATTGGTGTTTGTGTGTGTGAGAGAGAGAAACGTATTAGACTAAACAAAGTCCAATAGGATATCACAAACTCCTTTGGAAGCTCCTGAAGCAATGCAATCCTATACAGCTTTATGAAGAAGTCCTATTCCATTCAGCAGATCTTTGTCACATTGGTTAATGAGTTGCAAATCTGATGTCTCCCAGATGTCCTTTAAAGTGTTTCACAAACACTAATAAATCGAAGTTTTGCACTAAGTATCACTGGTACCAGCTATTTAATTAGATTGTGATGGTACATTCTCTGATTCTTTTCATCATGTGACATGGTTCAGTACTTAATTATATTATTTACAAGTAGTTATTATTTATTTACTTTTTTTTACCCTGCCTTTCTTGACCCCGGAGGGGACTCAAGGCGGCTTACAAATAGTTCCTCTGCTTTTATTTTTCTACTTGGCAAATCTATGGCATATTTTGTAATTGTGAAACTATACATTTTTATGTGAATTCTCTGTAGCAGACAGTGTTCAAGACAAGTGCTTGATGTGTTCAATGTTCTGTTTTGTGTTTTAAGTTGCAAATAAAACAGGCATAATAAATCTTTGTGGTTTGCAGCATTGTGCGCATGTGGACTACAGTTTTATAGGATATTGTGCAGGTTGCAAATTTCACGTATAATGTTAAATTTCTTAAGGTATTAAATAATTACGGCTGTGGAGCATGCTTGACAGTATTTGGGGAGTATTGGTGAAGCCAAAGGAGTTACTAAGGGCCCTTCCACACTGCCCTTTCTTCCAGGATCTGATCCCAGATTATCTGCTTTAAACTGGAATATATGAGTCCCCACTGCCAGATAACCTGGGGTCAGATCCTGCGATAATAGGGCAGTGGGGAAGAACCCTGAGTTACACATTTGAGTGATCAGAGAACAAGGTCTTATGTATCTCTTCCCCCATTTCATGCCTAGGAAAAGCAGAGTAAAATGTAGAATAATTAACTAATAGTTAAAAACATACAAAAAGTCAACATTCTGTTGGACTCTTAACAGAATTCAAAAGTCAACTTGTGATGCAGAATATAAAGTTATAATGCTTAAATTTTTAACACACAAGCTAATGTTTGATCAACTCACTCCTACATTGAGATGGTTAGAAAAAGTGTTACATACAAGTATTCAATATTTTATATCTTTAACAGAGGAAGTGCAGACCTCTTGTGAGTTGGAGGTTATCCAGATATTCCACTTTGTATGTACAATATCGTGTTGGGCCATGACCACAATTGGAGTAGAATAATTCTATTAGCTTAGTGGCCTTGCAGAATGTGAAAACAGGAAATTGTGACTAACTTCTGAGATACTGAAATCTTGTTGAATTGTGAGGATACAATTGAAATGTGTGCTGTTTTCATACTGTTGCGCTCAAGTTAATACATGAGTGAGGATGAGATTACATCCTTCCTTTGGGAATGAGGCCAAGGTGGGTGTATCCTTTGCTGGCTCCCAGCATTTTACAGCTCTCTCTGTAAGAGGAAGGTGCTTTATCTTGGGTTGCTGCTTTGCTTACGTACTCAGTCTGATTTAGGCTTTAATGCAGGAAAGACAACGTAAGTATGAAAAATGTTTGAACGTATAGGTAGTCCCTATTTTCATGATGATAAACTATTCTTCGTGGAAACAGTCTTTGCCTTCTATTAGGACTTTTCTTTTTTCCTTCTCTCTTAAACAATACAGTGGTCAATCTTTTTATGGAAGAGCTGTTTACTAGTATATTGAAGGCAGTGTTATCAATAAATTCCTCTACATTTTAAGGTTTCTTTTAGCCTGCTTCTTTGAACTAACTTTGGTTCAAAACACCTGAACAGGTTTTGCTTCCTATTATTTTCAGGGAACCAGTTCTGAGAAAATTGTGAAAAGTGACTAGCACATAGTTTCCTGGAACATTCCTCCCATTGTCAGGCTCAGTCAGGGAGGTCACAAATCCAAATCAAGTGTAATTTTAGGTAGATTATAATTTTCTAGCTTGGTTTAAAATGCATATGTTTTTCTTACTCAAACTCAAAAGAGTTTAAGAAAAGTTACTGTTTCTCTTCAATAAACCTTGCTGTGTTGCTGCATGTTAAAACAACAGACTAAAACAACATCTGGATTTCAAAATCATTTCTACCTATGTGTTAACAAGCTCCCTTTCTGTTCCTTTTCTTGATTTCTCAGTCTTTTCTTTAGATCATGGCTTGCATGACATTTTTCTTTCTTTTCCTTTTTTTGCTGTTTGCAAAGACTCTTGGGAGGATTTGACAGATTTGGTGGAGCAATTGCGCGATGATACAGAAGGTGCGTGCCACACCAACATCTTTCCACTATAATTTCCATTTCATTTTCATCTGGCTTCTATTGTCCTTTAAGCTGGATCACGAGTTACGGCCGATTGGTAGTAACGGTGCATCATATATATGTCTTACCATATTGTGCTCACATCCTTTCATTAAAATGTGAATTTTCTGTTTTGAAACCCTGTGTCATACATTGTTTTCTGTGAATTCATCCATATTGTCCCTTATTTATTTTGAGTACTGTATGGTTTCTGATAAGTGTTAGAAAAATGGCAAAGTCTACAACAGATTTTATGGTAGTAGAATTCAGAGACATAACTGTCAGCTTGACTCAGTTAAAATATGAAGGAATCGTGTGGCACGTTTGAAACTGAGAAAAAGTAAGGTTTTATGAACTCCAGTCCTTTACATCAGATTTATGTGGGTTTTTCCTCAGTCTCAAATATGCTGTAGGATTTTAAAATACATTTTAGTCCCATTTTAATGGTTTGTCACAATGTCATGGTCCCCTTCTGGAGTTTTCAGATTCATTTGTACTGTCTGTGAAGATCTGAATGAAGGGTTCCCAATATAGGGATGGAAGTCTTTGACTCAGGCAGTCTTTCTCACCATCTCTTGTATTATTAAACATTCCAAAAACTTTCAATAAATTTAGGCCATTGTATTCTTGTACCTGTTGACCATCTTGCTAGCTTTTTCTGTTACTTTAGCAGAAGTTAAACATTATTACATTATAAACCCATCTTCAAAGCTCTTTTTGCTGTTTATTTTTGGCACACTACCTCAGAATTATCCAGGTACGGATGGATGCATTAAGCAGATTTGCACAGTTGTGAAAATGTGCTGGGAGGAAGGGATCAGGTATGTATGGGAAATGCAAACACACAAAATTGTATGAAAGTGTTGAGAGAAAAGAAACTGGGATATAACAAGTGTTTTTTAAAGAATATAGTCACAACTGCTGTCCAAAGTGGATCCAGTTTATTTGAATAGGGGTTACTTCTGAGTAGACACGCACTACATATGAAGGCAGCAGGACAGTGAGAGAAGAGACTTTTGGTAATATATTTCAAGTAGATAAATGTGGAATGGTCTAACCTTCTTTCATCTGTGCCTTGCTTTTGATATTGAAATCACCACTCCTTTATGAAAGATAGAGACAAAGATGGGATTAAACAAACAGATCTGCAGCCATTAGAAGTACTGGGGTATTAGTCACGGCATAACTTGCACACCATTGTCAAAATCAGTACTTCTTATATGTGAATTGGGAGACAAAATTGGTGCATTACCCATGTCAGCTAAGCTTATTCCATTTTCATGTAATTTCACAGCATACTTCATCTCACGTATGATGCATTCATACCAATTTGCACAGTCCTGTATTATTTTTGGCAATAAACACTACACCTGTGTGCAACATGTTACACTGCAGTGTGTACCATATGTGGCTAATGGGTGGGGAACATTATAATAAGTGAGAAAAGTCATGGACTTTATGTATAGTTGGAGAAAGCAGTTGTTGGCATGGTGAATATTGGGTGGGTTCTGCTACTTAATGTATACATTTTGGAAAACTGTTCTTCAATTTTGTGGAATTGCATTTTAAAAATACTATTCTAAATGTTTTTATTTTCCCTATTCATTGTTTTCTACATCACATTTGAAAGTGTTCAGATTTTGAAAATATGACTTCTAAACAGCAAAGCCCATAGTAGCTGTGATGGAAATGTATGAAACCTCTACATTTAGTACATTCGAATTTATCAGACAAAGTCTCAATTATATATCACACCATTAAGACTGAGTTACATTTTAGGATAAGCTTTTGTAAATATCACTCCACTCTGTCAGATACAATACAGAATGATATTAAAGCTTCAGGTTATTAAGCAAATATATACAGTTATGAGACTTGACTTAGATATAGAATCCAAAAAGATGCAAAAACCTAGTTGCAGATCATCTCAGCCTTCTTGAACATATAATTGGGATACATAAATCACAGTTCACAAATTATAAAGGAGGACTGGGAAGAGAAATGAATGGATTGGGTGATATTCACAAATTCCAATCCAGTAGCAGACACATAAGCAATGATAATGGTGTGGTGGTACACAATATACTCGTATATTAATAGCTAAGTCATAATTGTACATATAACAAAAGGAATCTACTTGAAAGTTTTAACGGCAGGAGAAGTGGCATTTTGTCTACATGTTTATTGGTTTCACATGTCATTACTGACCACTGTAAAGATCAGAAAAACCACTTTCTCACAGTCCTTGGAAGATTTAATGTGAAGCTCACAATTGACATCTTTCTGATCCTGTTACGTTATGACCCACTCTCACAATTGTATAAGTATGCCTATTAATTTGGGACTTTATTACTTTGCATTGCACCTGAAGAAATGGATTACTAGCTATGAAAAGTCAAAGCCAAAATTATATTGATGGCACTTTTGATGATCCAATTTATCTATGTTTACTCCCAAATACTGCTGACTGATTTAAATGGAACTGATTCTTAAATAGAAGCACATAAAATTGCAAAGCTGAATAATATTATACAAGTTTTCTTCATTTAAGAGTCATTTTAAGAAGAACAGGAAGGAAATCAAAAGTGAGTGTATACCCAGTTCACAAACTTCCCAATACTTGTAAGAATTCTTGGCAAATATGGCTGTAACTGCATCCTCCTCCTATTCAACAAAGTATCTGTGAAATGTCAGTCAAATTATATTAAGGCATTGTTTCATTCTCATTTGCACCTGCTGTGCTGCTGAAATGATGGAACTCAAAGAAAGGTCTTCCCCAAGGATCCTAAGACAGCCAGGCTCATAGAGTCTTTCCTGTAGTCTGGACTCAAGCTGTATCACATAACATCACCAGGTTACAGGACAGAAATTTCTTCCGTGTCTTAAAGGCAGTGATTCTTCATATTTTGGAAGTAAGGAATTCTTCATATTTTGAAGGTTCAGGCCCAACTTACCTGTCCGAATGTATCTCCCGTTACGAACCACTGAAGACTTTAAGATCATCTGGGTAGGCCCTGCTCTCGGTCCTGCCTTCGTCACAAGCATGTTTGGCGGGGACGAGAGACAGGGCCTTCTCAGTGGTGGCCCCTCGGCTATGGAACGCCCTCCCTAGGGAGATCAGATCTGCTCCCTCCCTCTTGACGTTTCGGAGGCAAGTTAAAATGTGGCTATTCAAGCAAGCGTTTACAATTACAGAGTAGCTAATGTAGGAAATTGAATGACCTGACAATGGAATTGGACAATGCTTGAGAATAATGAGATGCTGGTGATATTGTTTTATTGCTTTTGTGATGTCTTACACTGTTTAATGTTTTTTATCTATATTATGTTTTATGTAAACTGATTTGTTGGAAACCGCCTTGAGTCGCCAATTGGCTGAGAAAGGCGGTATACAAATACAGTAAATAAATAAATAAATAAATTTTGGAATTCCTCCAAAATATGAATGCCACCTCCCTCCCCCCAGTATGAAAAATCACTGCCTTTAAGAAATGGGAGAAACTATTGAAACTCTGGGAGGCATAAAAAATTACGCATATTTTCAGTCAGGTTTTCTGGGCTTAAAAAAGCTATTCCTATTTGTTTGTTTGTTTTTTGCCTCTTCCAAGGTGTCTAATAGATTTTGACAAGTTTTAAAGTTATTATTTTACTTCAAGTTCACACAACTTGACTAGAAATGTTTTTATACTCCTTTTCCATTTAAATTCTGTGGAGTGCACCCCAAAGAATGATGGCAGTGAAGAGAGGGATAACATACACCCATCTGTTTTTTCTTTTCTTTTCTGAGATTCTGCTTCCTCTCTGTATTCAGATTCCCATTTCACCCAAAGCGGGCGTTGTTGAGAATACTAAACAAATAAAAGAAACTGCACATAGTTCAAATGGAGCTAATTAAAAATAAGATTATGGGAGAACAGAACACTTGTGACAGCCATAAAGCTGGGCTAAAGGCTTTACTCAACATCACACAGGAAATACATGATTAGGATAAAAAGGGTAAAGGGAGGGGAAGGAAAAAAGAAACGTAGGGGGTTGATTGTATTCTATTATACTGTTTGAAATGCTTTCTTAATTTTAGTTGGTAATGGAATATAAGGGTTGATCAGACTGACCAGACACTTCTTAACATGTTGATTTAGCTCAGCTATGCTTTTTGCCTCTCATACTTGTGGCCTTGTTCAGACAGAAATGCCAAGTGAAGTTTTTCCTTTGTCCATCTTATAGTTTTTTCTTCTTATATTATGGAAATGTTGTATCTTGACTTTCTGTAAATTAGTTTAGCCTGGCTACAATAAGAATAAAATACATAACACTGTGTAACACAATTTTTGTTAATAAGGGCCCTTCCACACAACCATATAACCCAGAATATCAAGGCAAAAAGTCCCACAATATCTTCTTTGAACTGGGTTATCTGAGTCCACACTGCCATGCAGGCCTGTAGCCAGGATTTTGATTTGGGGAGGGGGGGGCTGAGTTTGATTGGGGGGGAGCTGAGTTTGATTCGGGGGGGGGCTGAGTCTGAGTGAAGGAGGGTCTACCCTAGCCAACCTTTTGTATTGTTACTCCAATACCCCCAGTTTAAATAATGCACCAGTAAGGCCTTCTCGCGGACCATCATGAGAATGGGGGGGGGGGGGGGGCTGAAGCCCCCCAAGCCCCCCCCCCCCCCGGCTACATACCTGCTGCCATATATCCCAGTTCAGAGCAGATAATATGGGATTTTATTCAGCTGTATGGAAGGGGCCTGGGTTATAAATGTCATTTCCTAATTGGTTCTACGATAAAAACATGGAAAAAGTTTTTTAAACTGCAAAATCTTTGTTTTGTGGAATATCCTGCAGCACATTTTGTTATAGCTTTTCAGTGAGTATCTTATTGAGCCTCAACCAATTCTATATATTTGTGACAGCCACAAAAATGAAGTTTCTGGATTATAACAACTACTTTCAAAGTAAGTA